ATACCTAAAGTTTTGCTAACAGCAGCAGGAAGACAGAACAGGGGAACGAGAGAGTCCTCTTCCAATACCACCCAATCCGAAGAGATCACTTTGAACTGTGAAAATAAGAAAAAAGTAAAAAATGATAGTTGAAACCGGATACATATCAAAACCTTTAGAAGGTCAGACATATATTATCTTGTAAAAGAATAGCAGTGTAGGGAGCTGGCTGTAGAGAGGAACCATATAGAACCTTGTTTATATAGAGAGTGTATTTGGAACGGATAAGAACCAAGTAAATATGGTATGATACAAATGTCATATTATTCACTGACGCTTACGAGGCATTTGTAACCGTCTCAATTCTCAATGCATTGAGTCAAAGGCGAGTCCTTAGCGAATGAAACATCCAGATAATTACTTTTCTAAAAAAAGCATGTTTTAGGGGGAAAACGACAATAACAACTAATAGTAGACGTTTCTGTTTGACATGAGCTAGCATACAAGAGGAAGTGGTCAGCGATATAATTACATCTCTAACAGATATCTTGTCGACTTAAAATCTTTTATCGTGTTTGGAGCTGCTTCGCTGAATTTGAAACTGCTAGTGATGTAAGTGGAACTTAGCATACAAAAAGATTCATGATAAATTGAATGATTGCTATATGCCTTGAATGTCATTAAATACTCATCTCATCCTTACATGTACATGTTATTGATCTTCTCATGTATCTCCACCTACAATAAGCAAGAAAACTTCGAATTCTTATCACTAACTTGACAAATAAGTTTAGTTCCTTTCAGAATATAATAAAACACCAAAAGAGAAAACAACAATAGACATGTACGAGCGTGTGCATGGGATTGGATATGGGAGTTAGTTCTTTTTCCCGTTGCTTTTTCATTTTGGGTGTGTCTGTTTGATGAAATTAATTTAGGGAAGTATTTGAGAGATATTGTTTCTTGCAGACTATTGAGAACCCTAATTCTAACTTAACCTAGAACACATGAGACAATTATCCCACACAATATATCATCTTAGCACTTGCCTTTATTGTCTCAGCATATGATGATTTTTTACTCAAGTTGCCCAATCACTTATATTTAATTGGAATTTCCGTTATCCAGATAAGACATTGAATGAGAACATAAATCATAAATTAGTTACAGGCTTAACTGGCTTGAACAAGCAGAACCCTATTGCAGTAGTACCCCTCTTATAGTCTTTGGAAGACCTTAAATTTATCCTTTCATTCCTTTCTGAATTGGCTGCCGAGAAGGTGTTTGCCGATGATAAGTTTGAAGAACATTGTTCGACTTTTCTCTGGAGAAGGCACAAAACCGTTAGCTCCGCAAGAATCCATTAAATCATCTGCATCTATCCTTCCAAGTCGTAGACAAAATTTGGTCAATCATGTCTACCAAATCTGGGAAAGGAAAATAAAATTTAAAGCAACTATCTAATTTCCATTCCTTGAGTAATACATTACAAAATCAGCTATAACTTCTCATTTTTCTCCTTGAATTATTCCTTTTACGCTTCCTCCAGATTAGTCTATTGCATATCACGTGTTTCGCACATGCACAAAAAACTAGTCGATTATATTGTATATTGTACTAAGGTTTCCAAGAGATGTTAATGTATTTTGCATAAAATGTAAATTCATAGTATGGTAGGGATTTTAATATACAGCATCAACCATATTATTTCTAGTTATATGTTCTGAAATTTTCTTCCCGCTATCATCTTCATCCTGATCAATAGACTCTTTTCTTAAAAACATTGCCTTGGGGGTGTTGCTAAGCTTCCAGACCTCTATTGTCTGGTGTACTCATCTTTTCAAAATAAATTATCTTTTGTTAAGTTTCACATTTGGAGAGTTACATAAAACTCTTCAGCTAAAATATGTAGTTTGCTTCTATTCAATGTGTAATACCCAACACATATGATGACTTATGCTGGTCACCTGAAATTATTCTAACTATACATATGCACTAATTATTATATTAGAGAGGGGATCAAGATGCTAAAAAAAAAAAAAAAAACCTCTGATGTGTGTAAGCATTCTTCTCTCGAGCCTTATGGATTATGAGTTATGATGATTAGGGGCTCGGTGCAAATGGAAATTTGTTGAGGAGTTTGTGGTAAATGGATACCCTTATAAAAGAGAGGAAACCCCTAGGGTGTTTTTTCTCCAAGCCGCAACTAGAAAAAAATAAACCCCCTGACTTCAACATCTCTCTAAATCCAAGTCCTCGTTCCTCCTCTCATGCTCTTTCTCCTCTCCAAAGCTTCCCCCTTCTTTCTTTAACCTATGAGATCCCCTCAGATCCCCAATCCCCCCAAATCAATCAACTACCTCAAACACTTTCTCCGTCTCCCTCTCCATCGAGCGCGCCGTCCTCGACATCGTCCACTCCCTCTTGGGCGGCCGCAGGTTCTCATTGACGTGCCGTCGAGGTCCGCATCGAATCAGGCATACATCCCGGAGCTCGACCGGATCGTGCTCAAGGATAAGTCGACGGCAAGCATTTCTATCCTTTTAGTATTTCATAATCAGCTTATTCGATTATTTGATCTGAAATGAATGGATAACAGGAAATAATTGATTGAAGTGTTACTCCTCATAATTATGGATACATTACAAATTAATCTATTGATAGTGAGTATAGTTAAATGATTGTGCTAAAGCTATTTGTTCTTTTGACGACGTCTGGATTGATAAAAGCACCAGTTGTCTTTGTAGACTTGATAATCAGTGTTTAGGTTTACTTGGATATATTTGTAGGGCTTCATTGATGATATTTTTGGAATTTTGTAAGAGTTGGAAATACTGTAAGGGTCAAAGAAAAACTAATTTGTGTTTTAGATTGATGTTAAAGTCTATAAGAAGTTAATTATATATATTTCTTGTTGTTTATGTCAATGCTTTGTTTTGTACATTATTATTATTATTATTATTATTTATAGATATGGACCATTAATATGTTGGATAAGGGTATAATATCAACGAATTTCATTTATGGGTGTAAGCCATATAGCACTCAGTTAAAGGTTTGTAAGAAATGACAGTTGCTACTATGGTAAACACAATAAAGACACTAAACTAAGAACTCTAGCTGTATATTTATTTTTTTTTCCTTAGTCATTGACTTTCCTAAGGGCTCTTTTAGCTGCCTGCTGCTCGAAAACTTGGGACCTCACAGTAAAATTTGAGGAAACACAAGTATGGCTTTGTTTTGTCTAGGGTAATTAGACTATTACTTTAATTTCTAGTGGACTGAAGTATCATGATGCAGGTTTTTAGTCCAACGTTCTAGTATTCACCAACATCTTGAACTGACCATGTGGATATGATTAGTTAGAACTGTCATTCCTCTGCTGCAGATTATGCACTTGCATATAGGCTGAAAAGTTGGTAGAGATGTCAAAAGCTCAGGCAATATCTTTGTCAGCTTGCATTATCAAAGTATGGTACATGTTGAAATATTTCTCATTGGGACCGCATCTCTTAGTCCAAAAGCAAACTTTTAGACCACACATAGTCAATAATATTGTAAGATTAGAATTTCTAGATCTATAAGCAAACTAGGAAGAAGATTGTTTAAAGGGATAGTTGGAACTCCTGGTATCACATTTCTTCATAATTTTCAGGTGATCAAATCAACTTTATTGTGATACTTTAGCGCTTGGTTATATATTTGTAGATTCTACTGTAAAATGTAAGATAAGTTTCAGGGGATTAAATTCAAAAACATGAAAGTTTGGTGACCAATATTAATAACATCTATTAAATTTTCACTTTGAATACTATTCGGCTTGTTTATTATGTACTCTCCTTACTCACATTCTTTCCATAATCACGAGATTCCTATGTATCTCATTATCTTGTCTCCCAGGAGTATTTTATTTGACTTACTTGATAACCTTGACTTATCTGGTATTGATAATGGAGATCACATGAAATATCATAATTAGATTAAAAATCCGCTTTATATATATAATACTTATCTTATTTGATACTGTGTTTGACATGCGTGACTTTATGGAAAATTTGTTGTTTCATCACCTAGTTGTCATCCAATAGGAGAAACTGTGCATGAAGACGACTCCTGTTAAAAATATGATTTTAAGCGTGCTTTCAAAGCATGGCTATACCCTCGACATCGATATCCCGATGTGAGGAGTACCCTCGATATCGATATCCCGATATGAGATTTTCCTTGGCTATTACTATTATAGCATCGACTAGACGATGCATCCTTCTTGATTGGACATGTTCTGGGTCACGGTTATTTTTATATTTTTACAGAAGTTGTTCCACGGTAACTCTGTGGTTAGTGCATAACATTTCATGCACAGTCATTTAAAAGTTAATCGACAAACATGGGGTTTATAAAGGGGAATTAGATGAAGAATATAACATGTATATAAACGGGCATATGCGCATTCCTGATATCCTGAGTTATATACATACATGGGCCAAAGAGCCAATTCCTGACTTGAAGCCGTGTTCCCGGGACGGTTTACGGGGAACCGGTTTATATACATGAAAATATTCTTCTCTAATTCAAATAACATATAAAAAAAATAAGAATAATGTGTTTTATGCTTTGTGATAGATTTGGCATGCACGATATGACCTGGATGAAGTATGGGTGATGTATATTGATATTGTTGTGTATAGAAATTTTGGGAGTTAATATTTAGAGATTTACAATTTGAGATATATGGTATATACGAGGGTTTCCTTGTTTGGATTATTCCCTCGACGTACTCATCTCACATGTTGTGGGTTTCAAAATCTTACCTCCTTTTAGTATAAGGTATAAGATGTATGCTTTAGGGTAGACCTTGTTTGATATACATGTTTAGAAATTTCCTTTATCATCGTTAACTGAACTTTCATCTTATTTTGATTTATAAAGAGTAGCATTTTCTTTTATCACTGAAAATTTAGAATTCATCTTTTCTTTATATCTACCACTTATACTTACACGTGCACAATTTCCTCATTTTACATGCTTGCTGGGAGTTTTCTGACTCCCCTGGGGTTTGCATGCCCCAGACTCGGGAATTGTTCTTTCTTCGCAGGACCAAGAGTACTTTAAGGATTAAGACCAGCGACAGTGATCACCTTCTCTCTCTTCACTCTCTCAGCTTCAGTTATTGAGTCTTTCTTGTAATCACGTGTGGTACTCGAGACTAAGATGTATTTTTTCCTCTTTCCTACTTTGAAAAGTTGTGGACATGTAAGAGAATTTGTCTTTTCAGAGTTTCTTTATCTATCTAGTTCCTTTGTTATTTTAGTTGCATGCTCTATGTAATAGTTCTTTTAGCAATATATCTGTATACAGGATGATCCAGAGGCGTGAATGTAACCGTATGGTTGCATTGCCGACCGAGTCACGCTCCAAATTATCACGTTTTGGACCCGGGGCGTGACACAATGAGTTAGTTCATAGAAACGCCTTAGTTCAATGTGCTAGATGCTCTATATTTTTCTACTTCCAATAAGATAAATCACTAAGGACTCGCCCTAAATCAAATTCGATCGTTTTCTATGATAACTAAAATTTCTTCTCCAACTCAACAGATATGCCTATGCCATAACTTGTAAACAAAATACATACCCCTTAATAGCTCTACCCCAACTCAGGGACCTACTAATGGATTATTAAGCACAATACTTGAAAAATAGACAAGAATTCAAAACTTTTCAAATGGTTAAAAGGTAATAAGTAATTAATATGGTGAATAAATGGAAAATAAGTAGTTTCTTTTCTAACTATCCTTTTATTGATCTTACTAATTTGCTGATTCAAATAAAAAATGGTTTAGTGTTTGAACGACTTTTTAGGGTATATGCAATCATAACATTTCATTTCACTCATAAAAGAAGCTCCCAGGAGTGCTATGTACTGGCAACTGCTTGACATATATTAGGGCTTTTTACAATTTGCACACATGTACACTTAGATAACAAGCACAATAGAAAATACGATAGAAATATTTTTCATTAAAAATAGTAGTAATAAAGATAATAATACCTGAGGGCTAATTTGATGATAGGAGAGCCCTTAATTTCCTGAGGATTCAATTGATGCTTTGAGACTCAAATTTCTGGAGGCCAAATTGTTGGTAGGAGAAACTCAAACAGTTATAGTCAATTTATCCATCTCATTCGGAAGAGTCCTAAGCTTGTACGCATGGAGAAAGATTTCTAGTTCTCGAAAGTCCATGAATCAAATACTTGCAAGCCTCTTTATTTGGAACAAAACCCAACTTCAGCATCCTATTTTGCAGTTCAAATGACTTGGTCATTTTCCCTTCCTCACAATATCTTTTCAACAAAGCATTGTAACTTCTGCTGTCATAAATCTGAAACTCCCGAGCAAAATATCTTAAAACTGATTCTGCTTTGCTTAGATCTCCCTTTCCAACATATGAACCTACCAACGAAGCACAAATATCAGAATCAGGCACAAGATTATAATCACCCATCTCCATCATCAAGCACTCACCCTCCACAATCTTGCCTGATCCACAAAGACATCTTATAAGAATCTTATATGTATCCAATCCTGGCTTAATATCACTCTCAATCATCTCCTGCTTCACAGCAAATGCTTCAACTATATAATCACATTCACAAAAGGAACCTATCACCAAATTATACATCTCCAAGTTTAGCTTATACCCATCTTGCACAATCCATTCTAATAGCCTTCTCGCAGCATTTGGCCTTCTCTCCAAGCACAGAGCATCAACAACCCACTTGTAAGCCTCAAAACTAACAACAATCCCGTACTTCCTTATTTCCGCAATCATATTCAAACAAGGAAGCAACTTTCCAACCTTAACGTACCCTTCAACAATCACATTACCCGTAAACTCATCAATCTTCAACCCTCGACGAACCATATCATCAAGAGTCGCTCTCGCTTCAATCATCATCCCCTTCTTACAATACCCAAAAATCAAAACCCCAAAACAAAACCCATCGGGCTCCACCCCCCTCTCAACCATTCTATCAAACATCTTATGTGCATCCCCCATCCTCCCATCCCTACAAAACCCTTTGATCAAAACGGTATACGTAACCAAATCGGGCTCCACTCCTCTCCTATACATCACCCTAAAAAGCCCCATTGCATCCCCCAACCTCCCTTTTCTACAGTAGCCATCAATCAAACAGTTGTAAGTGACAACATCAGGATCAAATCCTTCCGTTTCAATCTCCTCCAAAAACCCATCAACCCTATCCTCACCTCCACCCTTCACAAGCCCATCAACCATTATATTAAAAGTGTGCCCATTCGGCATTACACCGGCCCTCTTCATCTCATCATAAATCTCCCAACAAAGATCAAGATTCCCTTTCATTCTACTTTTCACCAGACCGCGCAACACCGAATTGAAGGTATGAGAATTTGGGGGTAAACCCAGACGGGTGAGCCTCCGAAGGGTCTCGACGGCGGCGCTGAGCTGGCCGAGGCGAAGCTGCGCATTGACGAGCAAGCCAAATACAGAAGGTGAAGAGCAAGATAACTGAGAAGAGGAGAGGAGGGACGAGAGGGGGTCGATGTGGGGGTGGGTGAGGAGGAGGCGGTGAGCGAGAGAGGGAGAAGGCGTGCAGGCGGGAGGAAGAGAGGGAGTGGGAGAGGAGGGAGAGGTTCAGGGGAGGGGGGCAGGGGAGGGGGTGGAGGGAGGAGGTGGAAGAGGGGGGGGTTGAGGGAGGAGGGGAGGGAGGTGAGGGTGGAGTCGGTTGGTAGGGAGAGGTGGGAGGTAGAGGGGGGGAGAGAGGGACTGTTGAGTTGATGGCGGGTGGAGAGGAGGTTGATGAGGGTGGAGGCTGGTTGAGGGAGGAGGGAGAGGAGGGAGGTGAGGGGTTTTTGGGCGGGGGTGGGTGGATGAGGGATGGGTAGGTTGGGCTATGGGAGGAGGCCATGGGTTTTAGCGTGCGTTGAGGGAGGAACCGCGTAGCGACCGGAACGGGGAAAAAGAATGGAGGTAGGAAGGTGCTCTGCTCTGGCAGGGAGGGAGAGTGACTAACCACAACCTCAACCACATCCTCTTTCTCTCATTACTACACTATACCAGGTTCCACATGACATTTTAAATTTTTAAATTTCATATGGGGTCTGATATACTGTAGCAAATAAGAGAGGGATGTGGTTGAGGTTATGGTTAGGAGTGTGCTCCTATCATTTTCCGTGTGAAATAGCTCTTTACAACGGGTGAGTGTTAATCGGGTCGGTTCATCTAAAATATCGAACATACTGTTTTCTCATTTTTCCAGGCTTATTTTCGATTTTTTTTTAAATACAAAATTTCTTCTCTGCCTATAGTAATTGATTCTCCGGTAAAAATAGCTTATTTTCTTAGCTAAGCGGATTCAGATTCAAACCAAATCGATTGAACCGGATGTTTGCTTACCGGTACTTCATAGATGATCGTGTTTACCCTTCTTTAGTGCATGAGGAAAGAAGACTAAGCTCAAACTTCAGTTAGCGTAAACAATAAATAAAATCAGTATAAAATAGTTACTCTGCAAATTGGTGTGAGCACAAATAAAACATTATAATCATCAATTTTTAAGTTATTGATATATATGGACAAGCATAGATACTATCCAAACAATGTTCCATCTAATGTCGCATCTTTTTACCTTTGTATTATCCGAGAAATTCCCGTTCCCGTTGAGTACCGATATCTACCCGTGGGCACAAACTCAACCTTTATAATGATAGTCATAATTTTGAGCCAGCAGCTCAATTCTAGTGGCAATTCTCAACCAT